GTTGGAGATAGCCTTCAAGTTAGAAGCTTAGCAATTATAAAGACATGTTGGGGTAGTTTTTGGGCAATTTGAATTAAAGTTGAGAGCTTCAGATCACGAGAACTACTCTACCCTGGAAAAAAAAAAATGATTTAAGCTAAACAAACTGGAGATAAAAAAAACTTATAAATCTGGACAGAGTACATTATATAGCTTTGCAGTTAACAACAATCAAACATTGTACTTGTGAACTTCTTTCTCTCTTAAACATGAATTTTAGTAAAGAAAAGATGACATAGAGGCCTACTCTGTTCTTTTTTTCATTACCTCTGCTACAGGAGACTAGTTTTGTTGAATTCACAAATCATCAATGTCTCTTCCTGAATGTAAGATAAAATAGCAGTCTTATCGGCAACAGTTGTCGAAACGCCTGATCATAGTTATCTTGTGCTTCATCTAAATTGATAACAGCACAACCAAGCATATTTGTTTTGCAGTTAAAAGTACAATCTACAGAGGTTACGTTGAAACTGGAAACATTTCGTGTGACATAAGAAATAGCATACATAGATTTTAAAATTTAGTCTTAGGTAGTTTAATAACATTTCTAGTACAAAGAATAACATAAGCAAGAAAAGGATTTACGTTAATAACTAAAAATAAGAATTTTTTAAAGTTGTATTTTAAAAGTTAGAAAAAAAAAAAGTGGTTACATTAATTGCCATTATAGATGGGACTCGGTGAATTACCATTATAGTACTAATAACTGTTTACTGTCCCACATGCTATCTCACCAACTCTGTCTAAATCACTTGCATTACAGCGAAGGCTACTTCTTACAACAATTTTAGAATGTTACGGGACAAGACAAAAACTTTAATAATAAGCTTGCCTATTTCTGTGATACAGAGTAATTTTCTTGGAACTGGTGAACCTCTTCAGAACATACTTCGCAGATATCAGTATTGGATGGTTTGCTCAGTTATAGTGCTGCTATTTTTTTTAAATAATTCAGTATTATGTAATGAAAATTTTAACATAATAATTAATCTCAATAATTGCCAGATCCTAATTTTTTATATTATTTTACATTATTTCTTCAAGCTTAGTCAAATTATTGATAGTTAAGATTACTTACAGTGCTTGGAAACAAAACCTATGTGATCTCTTGTGTTTAGGTAGCTTCATCCATGTGTGAAGTAAACATTTACTTCTATGATTGTTCTAGATGCTATTCATCAGAAAGTGATGCCCTCTGGAGATGGGTAGAGGATTTTGGTTGATTTCCCACCATCAGTGTAGTATTTGGAATTGTTAGAGAAATGACATCTATCATGGAGTGATTGTCTCATAGTTAATTTCATAGTGCTTAATTTTCACATTTTTTTTTTACTTTCTTACTAAATGTTTCCATTGCCATGACCTTGCATTCTGATGACCACCTGGATCGTTTTGATTCTTTGTGTGCCTACTGGCCCGAATGCTTGTGCGGTTATCAGAATTATCAGTTTTGTATGGTGTGTATTTCAACTTCAGAAGTATATGTACTCTTTTATTACTGTTCTTCTCAGTTGGGAACTTTCTGATACCACGTATAGGAAAATACTTTGCACTCTGACCTTGGCTACCTGTTTAGTGACCATTTGGGACTACAACTTCCAATGTGCTTGGTAGTACAGGTATATTTTCAGAACCTACTCTTTACTGAAAGATGGTATTTTCTATTCACCTTTATTTTACATAAGAAATTATAGAAAAGCACTGTTTGGATAAATACATTAAGTGGTTCATAAGTTATGAGTCTTTTTATCTTCATTGTTTGTATTTCTAACAACAGGAAAAACTGATTACATGGTAGAAAGATCTCTACATACTATTTTGAAGTTTGGTATGATAGAAGAGGAGAAAGAAGATAACTATGGTGGAGCAACAGTGAAAACTGAGGTAATTTGTAGATTAAAACTTTTACAGTTGTGTTATTAAGAGAATATGTAACTAATTTTGTTGAGACTGATTGGTGGTAACATGTTTGTAGTCACAAGCTGTAGAAATTCACTACAAGTTTGCTGCATTGCTGTGAATAAATTCATTACAGCTCTTTACATGTTTTTACCAACCATCATGCCCCAAGTTGAACAAAAAAGTGTTCTGACTAACTAATGAATGAATATTTGCTGTAAAATTCTTATCAATGTTCAAAGTGTAGCTACCAGTTTGGTTGCCAATTTGGATTTCATTCCTTTAAGTCGTGCACACAGTCCATTTTTGGCTGCACCTTTTTTTTGCACCTAAGATGTTTTTTATTAGATTTGATTTATAGGTTATTGTGGGATTATTGCATGTTTGAAAAACAACAGTAATGGTAACTGTGATGGTATGTAGTGATAAGGAAAGAAGAGGATGTTAAAAAAAAAACATTTTAGGCTGCCCATTGTGCACCTCCAACTTTCAGTGGTCCAGAGGTATTCAATAAAGATTATTTTAAATAGAGTAAATAGGCGTAGCAATAGTATTATTGGCTAATGGATTAATCAACAGACCCGTTAACTGATTACATGTGATTAACTCATCAGCACACCCCTCATAGAATTAGCACTGACAAAAATAAAAACATAGTATTAATTTTTCTCCCCAATTTCCAGTGTGTGTGTGTGTATAAATATATATATACACATAGTTTTCCAATAGGAAGTACAAATTAAAAAATGTTATGATGATTATGTCATAGGCCTGTGCAGTTGATATAGATACATGTAAAGGTGAGAGTTTGTTCAAGGTTAGTGATAGGTGCATGAAATTCTATGGCAGTTGTGTGAAAGGTTAACTCATAGTGGTGCAGAGAGGTAAGTAACATTTCTGAAATTGTGTCTACTTGATATATGGTTCTTGAATATAACATTTTTATGAAATGTGATTTTAAAAAGGAAGTGTGTGTGTGTGTCGCTATATAATTCCACCAATAGGAGGGTGTTACAGCCTCCATGGACAATATTCCCTGTGGGTATTAGCATATGATCAAAGGCTTATATTTTCCGTAACACTGCCATGTTCAAACTTGTTTTCTCCAGTGCTTTTTGAGTTTCCAGTTACTTTGATCAACTGACTTTCTTTATTTAGCACTAAATTCCTTTGTCCTTCTTGCATTTTTATTTCATCCATCTGTTTACAACTTCATTTTCTGTAGCCATCCCATTTCTACTTTGTGCTTCTTATAACAATAAATACATAAAAAAAGTCTAAATGCCCAGATGTACCTCATCAGCCATTCCATTTCTTTCAGCTGTTTTCTGCCTTTTGCTTCTGATCATCATCATTCAGATACGTATGCCTTTGCAGCTTTTTTTTTCATATATTATAAAGCCTGATTAAGTTCTTCCTTGATCCCTCCTTTTTCCAAAGATATTACCTACCTGGTAATCAGTTGTTTTTCTCCAGTTTCTTCCTTCATTATGTGATTCTTCTTTTATGTATAGTTAAGGTTGTCTGTTGCTACCTTGCTCCTTCTCATAGACAATGTGATTGTCAATTCTTTCCTTGGTTTATCCCCCTTCTCTTCTACTTTCACAGGTTGGGTTCATCAGCTCAATCACTTGGCATATTTGATTAAGTCCAATCAAATGCTTTGTAACATAGCCTCCCATTAGGTCAAGCTTCCTTTCAATACTGACCAGAGATTTTCCAGACTGGTATGTGAACTACATCTAACACATTCATCTGCAGTTACTTACATCATTCAATGGTTTTATGTGCATCTAGTTTTGACCTCTTTCTGGTCTACCTAGATTTTAATTTACACTTTCATCACTAATCTTGTACGTTGTCCATGTTCTTGCACATTTCAGGACAACTTTGTTTGTGTGCTTTTCAGACTCCTGAAAAAAAATAGTAAAAAAATAATCCAAAAACTCAAACCAATTACCCACTTAACATGTAGAACTAAACATCAAATTCTCAGTGTTTGTTGTCATCAGATCTCAGTGCATGGTCAGCCTTACCTCACAGGAATTGTTTATCAAATATCTGCAGTGAGCACAGAAAGTGTTAACCCATTTGCTCTTTCTTGGTGCGTACTGTTCAGATTGGTTTTTCTGTAAGACTGCTTTGATACCATATATAACTGACTTAACCATTTCAATATCTTGTGCAAAATAAAAGAAAAGCAGACAGAACTAAATGTAACGATGTATTTTGTTATTTTTGAATGTTGATTTAAATACTGAAACATTCTTTATCATTAAAACATGCTTACTTGAGAATGATCACACCAGTAATCGAAACATTGTACCTGTTTTAAAAACAAATGTTACAAACTGTAAAAGCTGTAATTTGTAATAAAATATTTTTAGTACTGTTTACATACATAACTAAATTTGAAGCATTAGGCTTAATTAATTATATTGCCATGTTTTAAACTAATTAACTGTGGAGACTGTGTAATGATAACACTATCTGCTATTTTTATAACCTTTTTGAATATGTTGCTTGATTTTAGAACATATTTGTCCGAGAGAAAACAGAGCATCCTGATGATCTGTTAGAAGGTGATATTATTTCACAGTTCAATGACAGCAATGATGATCTGGATAGTTTAAACTATAATGATATCAATGTGAAAATAAAAACTGAATTTCAAGAAGAAATTGAATCCGGATTAGAAAGTACATCTGGTGAGTAGAAACATCTAAAACTCTTAAGTGCATTGACACTGGATTAAAAGAATTAGTTAAATTATTGGACCATATAAGACTGGTTTAATTTATAGTGTATAGATCTATGTTTGGTGTTTCTATTTATATGTTTAGTTGAGAATTTTGTATGGAATGTTTTGAAGTGATAAAATGACAACAAAACATTTAAAAAGAATTTTAAGGTTTGTCTGAAAACAAATAAGAACATTAGTTGTTTGTACAAAATGAAATGGAAAACCTTTCTAACTGACCAGTGTTTATCCTCTTGGTTCTTCGTGTATAACTTTCTGATTAATGGTTGGAATCTGTGCCAGTAGAATAATGTTTCAACATGTACAGAGAATGTATTGTTGTTATTTATTTTATAGATGTGATTTGTTGAACACTACCAGCCCTGTAGAATCTGGGACTTTAATGATCCTAAATTTCCAATCCCTTAATTTTACATGAAACAGCTTCTAATCAGAGGGATGATACCAAAACTTCATAAAAGAATAAATAATATATTGATAAATAGTATAGTCTAAGTCTTGGCATTTATGATATTTATTTCACTTGCATATAGAACTTTTCAACAAAATAGTGTAAAGTCTTCATGCTAATTAACATTTGAAAGTAGAGAAGTCATTAGATGATTTAATGATAATCAACCACTTAAAATTAGAAAATATCTCAAATTTAAACCAGAAAGATACTAGCTTTAAGTACATTGGTTGTTGTGACACCATACTATCATATTTTCACAGGTGATTTTACTTTATTTACTAAAAACCTGTTGAAAGTGGAATCTTACCTACAGTTTGTTTTCAATACTATTATGATTCAGGTAGAAAAGTTTCTAAAAAGTGTCAAAATAGTGAAATTAGTTTTTAGCTTTAAAATTCTCATATTTACATTTGTATTTATTATATTGGAACACTAAATGTATTTTGAAGTTCATCAGTTTTATTATTAACTATGATGTGGCATTATTTACATCTATTTTAGATCCAAAGCCCAGTGTGAACATCTGTTGTGAGAGTCAGTGTCCTGGTTATCATGTTATAAAACAAGAAGATCACTCTACAGAAGTTATAAAATCCCCAAAACCAAACAACACTATATTTGGAGAAACAACTGTAAATGGAAATAACCTAAAAGAATTTAATATACCTCAGTGTAATGGTAAAACATGCAGTTGTGTTGTCAGTGGAAAAGAATTTGCAACAGTCGATAACCAAACACAAGAAAAGAGGATACAACCTGGAGAGAAACCACATCAGTGTGCAGTCAATGTCCTTTTGCCAGTTTATGGTGAACACTTTGAGAGAAATAGTTCCTTAAAACAACATGAAAGAAAACACACTGGGGAGAAACCTTATAGTTGTGGAGTTTGTAGAAAACAATTTGTATCAAGCAGTAATTTAAAATCACACCTAAGAATACACACTGGGGAGAATCCATACAGTTGTGTAATTTGTGGAAAAAAATTTGTATCAAATGGTAAATTAGAACAACACCAAAGAACACACACTGGGGAGAAACCTTACAGTTGTGAAGTTTGTAGAAAACAGTTTGTATCAAGAAGTAACTTAAATTCACATCGTAAAATACACACTGGGGAGAAACCTTACAGTTGTGGAGTTTGTAGAAAACAATTTGTATCAAGCAGTAATTTAAAATCGCATCAAACAATACACACTGGGGAGAAACCTTACAGTTGTATAGTTTGTGAAAAACAATTTCGAATAAAGAATAACTTAAAATTACATCTAAGAAAACATGCTGGGGAGAAACCTTACAGTTGTGGAGTTTGTAGAAAACAATTTGTATCAAGCAGTAATTTAAAATTACATCAAACCGTACACACAGGGGAGAAACCATACAGTTGTATAGTTTGTGAAAAACAATTTCGAATAAAGAATAACTTTAAATTACATCTAAGAATACACACTGGGGAGAAACCATACAGTTGTGGAGTTTGTGGAAAACAATTTGTATCAAAGGGTGAATTAGAACGACATCAAAGAACACACACTGGGGAGAAACCTTATAGTTGTGGAGTTTGTAGAGAACAGTTTGTATCAAAGAGTAACTTAAAATCACATCAAAAAATACACACTGGAGAGAAACCTTACAGTTGTTCAGTATGTGAAAAACACTTTAGTAGAAAGAGTTATTTAAAATTACATCAAAGAATACACACTGGCGATAAACCTTACATTTGTGCAGTTTGTGTAAAAAAGTTTGTATCAAAGGGTGAATTAGAACGACATC